GGAAGGAACATTTAGGATGGTCAAGAGAGACAACAGAATGAAGTAGAAACTGTCCTTTTGGTTAATTTTCTGTTCTTTCAACGAGGTGTCTTATCTTAATCAAAGGTTGTTATCTGCTCGGAAGCTTTTCTGGTCTATACAAATGACAACAAAACACTTCTTAACACTTGCTCTAGTGTCGATTTATTTTTTAAAAAATAATCTTTCATCTGAAATTCCTACTTGAAATGAAGAGAATATTTATGTTTTCAAACGATAAGGTGAATATTTGAGAAGGATTCAAAAGAAATGGACAAAGATCAGACGATTCGAATGTCATGATTAACCATTTTAAACAGTTCCATCAAAATAACATTTACCAGACCTGTAAGTCGTCTGTATTTAAATTCCATTCTCTCTGTCAGAACCAGTGCCTTCTCTCGTACATAAGAATTAAATATAACCTTTGACTTATTCCAATCTTCCCGAAACAAGATAATCCCTCGCAGCCAAGCCTCAACATTCAAAAATGCTCTAAAAATGATTTACAGTTACTCACGAATTTTTTTTTTAGCGTTGTGAATATGAAGTAACCGATGGCACTCATTGTATGTTTGAATTTCTTGTTTCGCTCTTTTTTTTTTATCGTTATCTTCGGTCTATATCATATATCACGCCATCCCAAAGATTGAAAAAACCACATTAGATCTTGTGAAGTGAAATCTCAGCACTTCAACTACTTGCGACTGTCAAGTTCACTATGTGGGGTATTTTAATTGGCATTATATTGTCATTATCAACTTCATTTCTATGACTGGCATGTGGGATTCTTTCTCGATTCCTGCTAACCTGATAGTCATTACCGATTTATCAGTTCCTTCACCGTATAATAGATGACAGAAATGATATAACACGATTTCATCTGATTTATTCCAAGTTATCATGATTATTACAACATTGAGGAATTTGTTGGCGTGAAGAATGTTTTTTGTATGCTAAAACATTGTAGTATCTTTACATAGATTTTTTATTCCAACGGATTGAGGTCAATAGTGTATCAATGAACATGTTACAAGATCTCATTCTTGTTGCGGCAGAATTTAAAACACGCAGCTTGACCTCTGTAGCACAATCTTCTGGTATATCCATTGGTTAGCTCCGTTGGTCGAGAGTAAAAGTTTGAAATTTAACAATCATTGGGATAACATTTTTGATATATGACAGGTGCCATCTAGGATTTTACCATCTGTAATCATTACTAATTAATAATTAATGTATTAATATGATTTCTAAGGAATATATGTTTAAGTGATATATCCACGACGGATTACTTTCAACAGTGTAGGTGTATAATTCCATTTATTTGTACTGTAATATCTGATGCCGCAGGGTTCATTTACCTGCCATCTCTTTCTGAGAGGACATGGCTATTAATACTGTTAATGAGATCTAATTAAATAGTACTTTGCTAATTGATCACAATAATTTAACATTAGCTTTCGTATAGAGATCTTTTGGAAAAAGGCAATTACTTCTGTTTAACCTAAGCACTTCACAACTGAATAATTCTGTATATACATGTACTTGAGGCACAATTGCTCATTTGATCCACTGCATAGGCTGGTGTAGCGTTTTCATTAGGCAGTTAGGGTGCAAATAGTAGTTTCTGTTTTTATTTTCGTACTGCTTATTTGCAACTGAATTGGCTAATGAAGACGTCATGCAGCTCATAGTAAGGGCAATTTTATCAGGATTCAAGTAAGTAAGCAAGTACATAGATTATTATCTACAGGCATCAAGAAGTTATTGAAGGTTAAGTGTTACTATTAACCATTGCTGATCTGAAATCACAAAAGGTGTATTGGAGGGAGGTGAATATATGATCAGCTAATAAAAACCAGGTAGAACATAAAAACACCTGTATATATGATATTAAGAATGTTTATTTGGTAAGTTAATGGAGGCTTATTAAATGTAATCTCTGAAGAAACATTAAATGGGATGTAAGTAGTAATATTGTTTATCTATACAAGATAAATACACTAATCTTCCATGGTGAAAATACTCATAAATCTGGGTGGAGATACTGAAATCTTGGTGGGGAAACAAGGCATAACATACATGAAAATGGCTTATTTAAACGGTTTTCTGAAGAATGCTTGATCAAGTCAAATGCGTGTCGAATCTTGGCATTGTACCATATCGTGATTCGCATTGTATGATTGTAAACATTTTAACCAAGAAGTAATGCACAATTAAACTTTAAGTTGTGCCTTTCGTGTTTACATTGTGCCTTGAATACAGCTGCATCCCGTTCCATACCAATACAAATTTCCTTCTCTCTTTATTGTTTTAATATGCCGAGATTGTTTGTCTGCCTCCAGGCATTCTATAACAAGATATTATTACTATTGAAAGACAATATTTAGTTCACAATTATCGATTCACCGTATGCCATTCAGACAAATTTGGTAGTGAATTTATTATGGTTCAATTTCAATAAGTACAATGGATATCAATGTCTGCTTTGGAGAGTAGTTATCAGGCCCGTAGCGAGAGCTGATTGTTAGGAGGAGCAAGTAATATATCTTTAGGGGCAATTGTGTAAGGTGTGTATTTGCAGTCAGAATCTTTTCAGAAGGGCAATATTTATTCGGGGAGTTAGGGAGGTGATTATAACTTACTGCAGAGGTCGAGGTTTGCGTATATCATTTTCACAGTAATCATAATCAAAGAAGGAGGAAGCTTTCCAAATATATGAAAAACAAAAGCAGTAAATTTACGTGGTTGGCCAACTTCAAAGGGCACTTATCATATCTTCGGTTTAGGGTACAGGTTTGTAGTTGATGGAACAGTGATACTGGGGTCTGTTGTCTAGTATATATACTTCTGGAAATCTGCTGGTTGTTATCACTGCAATAGTATTGTGCGCTTTTGATTATCTTGAGGTTATGATATGATATGATAACAACCTCATTATTTCGTCTCTGCTGTTGGGGTTATTCTTGTGATATATGCAATATTGAAACGTTCAAATTGTCTTCCCTGGTCTCACTGGTAATTTTGATGATAAATACCAGTTAACTCCTCGATATTGCTAGAAAATATTGATAAGAAGTAAAGTTTGATTCTGCCTATGTCCAGCTTGGGATGGAACAAAAACGAGTGCTTAAATTATTTTTCGTTTCACCCACATATTGCAATGGGCATTATTTTTTTTGTCGTCGTCAAGATATAAAGGTCTATAATATCCCATTAAAATACAGATAACTAGTGTTGATTCATAGCGATTATAATGATTCTATGTCTGATTCCCTCAATTAGTCTCAAGTGTGGTGAATAGATTGTCTCGTGTGACCTGTTATACCTTTTGAAATTATGCCATGTCAGCACACCATTTTGTCATGGCACCTTGAACAGGGTCTTGTTACCTGGAAAGGATAACAATTGGACGTATGATAGTAGCCTACTCATGGGTAGAATGTTAAACAGAACTATATCTCTTCCGTTTAATGGACCTAATTCTGACCCATGAAAAAGAATAAGGTGGCCATTTTTATTAGAACCCTCTATCATTGCACTTTTTAAGTGCACAATCCGTTTCAGTACTCTCAGTCGACATTATCTTCTCGTGTTATAACCAAAATGTGATTTAATCCATTTCGTTTAATGGAGTCAGGCGCCACCACTGGGCTTATACAATACAGAACGGTAGAAGTTCGTTTTAATTTTCTCAATACCTGTATTCTCTTGCCGATAAAATCTTTTTAAATTTAGTATAGTAAAATGAGACATATTGCCACATGCAATTATTTTGCTGTCTTTTGGGATTCTATCACTGAGACTGTTAAAGACACGAATAAAAGTATTACGTATTGTATATATTTTAGTAAAATAGTGAAATATGAGAAAGTAACATAATGTTTCAAAAGTATACCGCTAACATTTATTAGGTTTGCAGCTTTCCAAATCGTGGCATTCTGCCTGCATGATACCATTTATGTCACCAAAACTTAGCTACATAAAAAGAAACCATCTTGGCATATTGACGACATTAATTTTGCATTAGGAGATTTCCAGGATTAGTTTTTTCTTACAAAAAACAATAAAACTTTTCTGATCGCTAGACATTGTTACGCTATTTGTAGAAACAGAATAAAGCTCGACCTTTTGCTACATATAATGTGAGACAAATAAAAATCTTCCGTTGAAAAGTATCTGCTCTCATAGGGCTTAAGAACCTGTCTATCTTAATTTAGCTTTCCTTTTTTATTCAATATTCTTAAATAATTTATTTGAACATTATGATTTTGATTACGTCAATACTCAAGTGAAAAAATACATTCTTTTTATATTTCAGGATATCTCCAGGATTCCACATCGGCACCAAATAATGGTAAATATGACTTGGAGATCTGGTTATGAAACACGAAGAATCCAAACTGAATTCAGTATTGCTAAATTTGTTTTGACAATGGATAATATTTAACCTAAATATCAGCACAACAGATTGCTGACGTGACATTTTAAAAATTTTCTATGAACTGTTTGCTTCAATCTCCAAATGAATGATAATCTTATTGATCATGAATAATGTATTCATAGGATTTAAATTCTGTTTTGTTAAGTACAACTAAATAACAACCTAAACAAGAAAGGGAGTTAAAAACATGTTATTTGGAAGCAAGTGAGTGACAAATACCTCAAACTAACGGACATAAAGAAATAAAAATCAGGAAATATTTGGAATTGAGGTTTTCGTGAACGGAAATAAGGAATCTATAGAAATGAAACATGTGTATTTTATGTGCCAAAATTGCGAATCGAGAAGTATTTCCGGTTAAAAATGATTATTACTGGATTTTATTGTTGTTATGCCAAAGTTACTAGCCAGTCTGAACATCAATCTAAATGAGTTGGTGATTAGGAACACAATCATTCTTCCAAACATTTTCAATAACTTTAAAATGTGATAGTCTGCTTCAATGGCAACAATGGATAACACAAGTCTTTGTGAAAATATGTCGGAATATTTCACTAATAATGAGGTGGACGCAGGGTTTGTTATCTCCACTATTTGTCTGACATTGCTAGTGGCAGTGGTAATTGCCGGTAACATCCTCGTCATAGCCGCTGTGTTGACCACTCGGAAACTCCGGACAGTGACCAATATCTTTATAGTGAATTTAGCTTGTGCAGATTTACTACTTGGAATATTTGTGCTGCCTTTTTCAGCAGCTCTGGAAGTTCTTGATAGCTGGATATTCGGGACCATTTGGTGCCATGTTTGGTTAGCGACCGATGTCCTGCTGTGTACTGCATCCATTTTTAATTTGTGCTGCATCAGTTTAGACCGTTACATAGCAATAACAAGACCAATGAAATATCCAGGATTAATGTCTTCCAAACGCGGGAAACTGCTTGTTGCAGCTACGTGGATTGTTTCCTTCTTAATCTCTCTTCCGCCATTGATTGGCTGGAACGACGGAAACGATGAAACAAGCCAACAAACAGTGAACTTAGCCAATATTAATATTAGTCAAGTAGTTTTCAAAAACTTTTATACAAACATGTCACAAAATTTTATAATGGATTCAAATTTTTATGACAATAATTCAGAGAGAATGTTTGATGAATTTCAGACATCACAACCTTGCGAGTTTATTCCAGTGAAATGTGAACTTATTAATACGCGTGGATACCGTATTTATTCAGCATTAGGTTCGTATTTTATTCCAATGTTTATTATGGTGTTTTTCTACATACGGATTTACCGTGCTGCGGTGAAGACTATATCCGCTTACCAGAAAGGTGTCCTTACGACAAAATCAAACGGAGTGACTGTAAATAATAAAGTGACGTTACGGGTTCATCGCGGTGGAAGTTACATAAACCATAATACATCCAACCGCTCAAATAAAGATTCCGTTGAGAGGCGGAAATCTGCCGAAAGTCCCTTGAATAGAGGGAATTCCAAAAAAGACATGGATACGCCTTTAATCCAGACAAACTATCCACGACGCTTCAGATCGCGGTATCATACTTACAATAAAACTAAAGAGTGTCCAACATGTGAAACTACAATAACGATAACTCGCGATTCCTCAAAATCGGACGACATTGACCAAGAACAACAACTCTCTAGTACAAATGGCATTAACCCATCGCGTGATAAAAATCAAAAAGGACGAAAAGGAAGTGATCGTTTAAAACCAACAAATGGCGTTAGAATAAAATTTTCTGGAAACGGACCAACACGAACATCGTCTGCTCTGCAGAAAACTGGTAAAAATATGAAAACTCAGATGAGAAAATTTAATCGGGAGCAGAAGGCGGCTAAAACATTAGCCATTATAGTGGGTGCTTTTATTCTGTGTTGGTTACCCTTCTTTTCTATTTATTTAATTGGTGCATTTTGTGACGATTGTATCCCTGCTGTGTTGTTTTCTGTTTTATTCTGGCTGGGGTACTGTAATTCGGCTATTAACCCCTGTGTATATGCTTTATTCGCCAAAGATTTTAGATTCGCATTCAAAAAACTGTTAACTTGTGGTATTCGAAGATTGCCGTCAAAGTCTGGATCGGACCTTGCCGCCATGAACTTAAATCCTTTACAGTCTATAAACAATTTCAGTGAAAATTCCTCGGAAAGTTGACAGTTCACTTACCGGAATGAAACTTCCGGTTCTCTTTCCTGTCACAACCTCCAGCTGTCTGTTGAACAATACGCCTGACCTTGAGACACAAAATTCTAAACTGTGTCTACTTGCTGGAGGCAAATATTTCTTTGATGTGTCTACGTAAGAATGTATTTTGAAGTCGCACGGAGACAGTTTCTAGCTGTGTGCGTGTATATGTATTGAGAACAGATTCTTTGGCATTTTTGCCAGTTTCCGTCCGACGTCTGTGGTTCCTGTAATTCAGACAGATAATGATGACACTAAACGTCACCCAGATTGAATGGTATTGCAATAAAAGCTTCATAATCTGGTCAAGCTTTCTTGAATTTAAAGGAGCCACGGGTATTGGACGGGTAATCGGAATAGAGCCAATGCTCCCTATTCAAATGCATCAATTCCATATTTGCAACGTCACTGATTATTGACTTGATACAGTACATAAAGGTTAGTGACGTCACAAATTAGAAATAGAATTTTTCAAACAGTATTTTTTTTTACCTCGAGAGACCCCGGCCCAAATTGGGCTCGTCATTTGCTTTAAAAGCCCTTTAAGGCTGCTATCGACTCAGAGTATATGTTAACTTATCTATCAACAAAATTTCTGAGTTAAGTACAGCAAAGATAATTGTGTACATCTGAGGACGAGTCAAAACATAACCACAAACAGTCCAAAATTTTTTAAGGTAGTATAGATAGCAGTTGAAACTATATAAACTATACTTATATTCTGTTCATTACTACTTATAAACCTATTAATAAAGTGGACTGCTCGTGATTGTGTTTAAATCGTACCGGATTTGCGAAGATATCTTGCTGGACTATAGTAATATTTATAAACTATCATTATTATTATTTATGTTTTATTAAAGATGTTGACAATCTGAACTGGTTGTTTATATTGATCGAATGGATATAGTCGTTTAAATATTTGATTCACCAATGTATAGAGCTTAAAGCCAGCTCTAAAATTCCACGTCTATCGTTATTGGGCTCTATTATTTTGTAAGGCAAATGTTCTTACTGCTGTACATATCTTTTTGGTATTCCGATACCGAAACCAGAATGCCTTTAAGACATCGCAGTTTATGTGCGAAAACCACCAGCCAAATTTCATTCCTTCAATTTCTCACGATGTTGTCTACTTCAGTGAATAATATCGATTAAAAAGAAATATTATATCATTCAATAAGTCATTATGTGTTTACCTTTTAAACTAATCAATGGTGAACACTAGAGGTTTTATTTAAAATCAACTTTCTATATATTGATAATATTTCTTTATCGCGCTTTGATATCAGATAATATTTCAATACATACTCAATTCCATTACATACTGCAGATTTCTGCTTCAGTGCCGTTTCTCTAAAACCATAAATAGTTAACGTCATGTGCAATTAGTTTCAAATTGTTGAATGATCATTTCTTTACACAGTCTTATGATTATAATGTGCAGTAATTTTCAAAAGCATGTTTTCAATGAAGCGTGGCATATTCAGTTGCAATTTTGACACAAACTTATGGGATAATCGATAATACTTTTCAAATGAATAACCATGGCGGTGTACCCTTGTAATACTGGTTTCTTTTCAAAAGCACCGTAATATAATCACAACGGTACACTATTATACGAAAGTTTGGTCTTATTGGTTATCATTTTTGTAAAATAAATGTCTAGGTTTCAAGAACCTGGTTAGTAGAAGCTAAGACAAATTTAGACATCCCTTGGCATTTTCGATTTTTCATTTTTGATAAGAAGATTATTGTTGACAAGATAGTAAGAAGTAAAACAAAACCGTAAAAATCGATAGCTAAGGAAAGTCTACGGGAAATTGGGCTCCAATCGGCTCGGTGACAAATGATTCTGTTTAATTGATAATGAAGCTATTTTCGTTTAAGAACTATGAGTTTGTACAGAACAAATTTATAATCCAATGCCATTTTCTTGCGATTAAAAAACAAACAGCTTCGTATATTCTTCAGTGCAACTATAGTTCACCATCAAGTCTTTGTCATAGCTACAATGAACACCATATCATCTACGAGGTGCGCTCCATTTTCTAAAAAAAAAACACCTTTTGATTCATTTAATTTCACCGAAATCAATAATTCGATAGATTTGTAGACGTAGAACTTCGGTTCTTCCATATCATAAGACAGATTTCTCTCTTAGAACTCTTTTCATAGTTAACAAAATGAATCAACTGTTAGTAGCAAAATAACCGTTGGAAAAGGTCCAAATTGCAGAGATGACAAAATATCAGTGGTCTCGGTGAAAGCGTTTATTCTCTGCTGTTGGTCTAATAGATTTGTACAAACGAAATCGAGCAGATGTCATGCCACAAATATCACATCTCTAAGACATACACTAGAGTTCAAACCACAGTAAATGAGCACTGGTAGAGCAATTACTCTTGTAAAAAACAACACTATCGGTAAAATGCTGGAAAGATGTTTGTGGTCGGAAAAGCCATGTTGGATGTTACCAATATCCCCTCCCAAAAGAAAGCGAGATTCGTCTATCTGGATATGAACCGGTGCCCAACGGAAAACTTTGAAACAACTTCCTTATTATCGTGATATCATAACTGGTTATGATTTGAGAACTAGGAGGGCATGATCAGATTCAAATGATATCTTCTTATTTAACTGGTTATTCAGTGCAATAAAAACCGATAAAAGTAGAATAATGAAAGGAATAGGGGGTTTATCTCATTTGACAGTTTGTCTCGATTCACAATCTGGAGAATTTCAAGTAGAATTTAGTGGCCTACAGCCTAATCTTTATGTTTCAATACGCGGTATTATTTCTATGAAAAACACTTAAAACTGGATAAATCCCAGATAAAAACTGGGTGAAATCAATTTTTAGCGATCAATTACAAAATCTGAAGTTTTCATGAGATTGTTCGTTAAAATAATATAAGTTTTTTTCTTCAACAAACAAAGGAGAAAAGAATTTTGTTGTATCAATATCTTGCAGGTTTTTATTTCATCATCATTTATTAATAATGACACGATACATAAACCATTCAAATACTGAAATCTAATGTTGTTGGAAACTATTGGAATGACTATGAATGTGTCGAGTTGTATTGTAATTTAAGTAGTTGTCTCCTCTAACTAAAAACACAAATATTTTACACCATGTAATTCCCGTTTCGACCCCATCTGAATGATTGCTTTAACTTATTAACATTTGTACATTTCAGTAGAGAATCGTAAAAAATCGTTACATGGTGCCTGTTAATAATGGTTGACCATTTTTCAGAAGCGTTTCTACATCCCAGAAAAGAAACTTCTCCGCTTTAGCCACCCACATTCAAATTTATCATTATAAATGGGGAAATAATTGCCTTTTGCCCCGGTAAAACCATTCAGCCATATCTTGCATTTCTGATATAGGCCGCATCGCTGACTAAGGGAGAAAACTTCAGTTTCTAATCACATGAATATATTAAGAGGAATCGAAAGCAAGTCGTTATGAACATTTAATTTTAAACACAGAGTACCAATTAATCATCATTGATGTGCAGAGCAACACCAACATGTCAGAAATTTCGTGTCCGCTAATATTCTACTTCCCAAACTGGAAATAGAAGCACACAATATTTGCAAAGGTGTAGTTATAAGATCCAAGCTCTAGAATGCAGACACAAAAATTAGGAGGGTAAGAAAAATAAAAACACTCACTGTTAATTTACTATATTTGACACTCTTTTAAATAGATACCATATATACACAATGAATAACAAGATATTATATACATTATTCAATATATAAAACAATTTATAATAAAATATATCAATAGGAAATATCTCATTGTTGTTAAAACTATATGTATATATTATGATAGAATCTTACTCTTCTTTGATCAATAATATGAAAATACAATACTTTTTTTTTCTCCTACTGGACTCATCTAAGATGTCTATTTGACAAAATGGTGGTTTATAGCTAGTTTTACTATTATTTCAAACACAAATTGACAAGAGCAACAATAATAATAATCTCTGTAAGTACTCAATACTTTAATATATTTTGGCAAACTTTATTCTTAATTCAATACAAAGTGACCTTTTATTATAGATAAACTAAACAGATAATTTCATTAGTTTCCTTCAATCTAAATTGTACTTCAAGGTTTCCTATGAGTTTAAACTGAACACGATATAAATGAGTTTAAAATGAACTTAGATAGTAACATATCATCTAATACTGGTATAAAAACACAACACAAGTTTATTATTTTAGGTTTAGGAAAGGCTATACAAATATCTACATTTATACATATAACAACCAAAAATATAAACTGTTCATATATTAGAAATAAAAAAAACTATAAGCCAGGTCCTGTTACTCAAAGAATCTTACCATAAAAAAATTGTGGTTGGCATTCAATTTTACATTTAGAAATACCATACTAACTACAAAATTGATGGTAAGATTTTAAGTGAAACAAGGCCCTGGTTTCCTCCTGTATTTCTTCACATGAGATCATTAAAATAAAATGTAAGAATAGAAAATGTTAAACACATGGACATTATCTATGATACTGGAATCATTGAGTCCAGATCAGAATATTAAATGTAGCTTCAGACTAAGTATTAAGGTGGGGAACAAAAGATTCAGTTCACATACAGGAAGGGTATAAAATAAGCTGTTATAGCTATTATCTAAAATAACACAATACCACAGAGCTTTTATAGTCTATCATTCTCACACAAAACTCATGGCCTGGGGAAATACAGCTCTAATAGACATATTGTAGTAGTTGCAGTTGGAATGTATTTTGATAATTTTTAAATGCACCATTTATGCAGCTTTAGAATGAGTATCTTTCATATTCATAAACCTTAATGTGATGGCAAAGACGTTTTCGTGGTTCCTATAAATCCAGAATATAAGCCAGATAATGATATTAAATCAGGCTAAACAAGTCATCTAAAATCTCAATAAATTGCCCTATATTCAATATC